CTAAATCCTAAACCCTAAACCCTACATGCTAACAGCGTTACATAGAGGGATCGCAGGGTACCTGTAATTCCTCAATTCCCTACCATAAGAAGCAGTAACTTTCTGAAAGGCCCCAAGCGACCTTCGCCCCTTCATAAAAAAAACACATTCGCCGAAGTTTAGGGTTTATAGGGTTTGGTTCAGGGTTTAGGGGTTAGGGCTTGGGGCCTAGCAACAGAATCGTCGCCTTTTTGGCTTATTCCAGAGAAATCTAGACCTAAACCCAAGAAAAGGGCATAAGGGAGACCAGGTCTCTCAGGTGACTAAGCAGGTTGAAGCAAAAAACCGAGGAACACCCAATCATGTAGCCCATAGAGGAGAAACCGAGGGAACCCTAAACCCTAAACCCTAAACCCTAAACCCTAAACCCTAAACCCTTAACCCTTAAACACTAAGCCCTACCCCCCAAAACCCTCTCTTTGGGGCAGGGATTCAAGGATTCAGCCGCAGAGCTTCTGCCACATCGACCATGCGCGTGGCGACGGGCGGCTGCGCATCATCCACGGACTCCTCCTTCTGAGGTTTAGGGTTTAGGGCTAGGGCTAGGGCTTGTTGGAGTTTAGGATTTAGGATTTAGGGTTCCGGGTTCATGGGTTAGGGATTATTGGGGCTTAGGGTCGTCTAGGGCTTCTGGGAGGCATGTTGGGGGCTTGGGGGTTTAGGGCTGCAGGATGCTATGTTCTGTAGAATAGACACAGAAGCCTGGAGGCTCCGTGTTTGTGAAAAAAAAAGCAAAGAACACATAATTACATGCATCTTATTTATCACAGTGAAGTATGGCCGTTTGTTCCTAATCGCCGGAGTCACAAAACCTCTGGAGCCTCCCTGACCCTAACCGAACCCTAAACTCGAAGCCTTATAAACGCTAAACTCAAAACCTTCTAAGCCCTCACCTGAAAACCTAATTATGAACTCCAAACTCTAACAGCCTGAAACCCCAAACCCTAAACCCTAGACCCTAAACCCCCTTGCACTCTTTAGTCTTGGCTGTGAGGCCTCTGCGCCGGGACCACGGGGCGTCTTCCGGGAGGCCGCCGCCTGGGTCCCAGGGCTTGGGGAGTGAAAGAGTAGGGTTTAAGGTTTAGGGTTTAGGGTTTAGGGTTTAGGGTTTAGGGTTTGCGGGTTTGCGGGTTTGGGGTTTGGGGTTTGGGGTTTGGGGTTTGGGGTTTGGGTTTTTTGGGTTTTTTGGGGAATCATCTGAAAACTTAAAACAGGGCCCGATTCAAGTCCCTGAAAGATATTACTACACAAATACAAAAGGGCAAAACAGGTATCACTACATCCTGAACCCTAGGCCCTGAAGCCCTCAAACCCAAAAATTGGATGCCCCCCGCCCCCCCCCCCCCCCCCCCCCCTATTCTAACAGTCCTTCATAGGGATAAAAAACAGGGGGGTGCTAGAATCCCTATTTCAACCCTAAACCCTAAACCCTAAACCCTAGGACTGTTAGTATAAGGGGGAACATCCCAACCCCCCCTGAGGTCTAAACCCCCGAACCTCCACAAACCGCAAACCCTCAACGAGGCCTTGCTCACCGTCCAATGGCTGGAGATGCGTGCCAGCCTTAGCTAAAGATGCGATAAATCCGAAACCTGAAACCCTAACCCTTAACCCTAAACCCTAAACCCTAAACCCTAAATCCTAAACCCTAAACCCTAAGGGTCTGGGCTGCCGGGTCTAAGGTTGAGGTCTTATTGCCTAAACTTTGTGTTCTGGTTCTAGGTTCTTAAACGATTTCGTGCATAAGCCTACACCCTAAACCCTAAAAACCAGAGGGGTTTTGGGCGAGTTTAAGATTCGTGGCGTAGGATTCTAGGCACCTCGGGATTTGGGAGCTTGTGTAAGATCCCCCTACCACCCGCCCACCCCGCCCCGTTTACCTTAGTAAGCACTCTTCATTCCCCTTTCTTGGGTGTGTAGGGTTCAGGGTTCAGAGTTTTGAGCTTAGGGTTTAGGGCATAAACCCCAAACCCCAAACCCTAAACCCTAAACCGGGTTCAGGGTTGAGCGTTGAGGGTTTAGGGGTTTAGGGCTTACAAAAGATTACGGTGTAGGGCTCAAAGGCCTCCAGTCGCCCTGCCTTCTTGCGGGTGAACAACCCTAAACCCTAAACCCTAAACCCTGAACCCTGAACCCTGAACCCTGAACCCTGAACCCTGAACCCTGAACCCTGAACCCTAAACCCTAAACCCTAAACCCTAAACCCTAAACCCAACAAAGGAGCTCTAAGGGCGGGAACCAAAAAACACGCTGCCTCTACGCGCTCCGGAAGCCCTTCTTGCTTGTAGGTTGTCATGCTGTCTGGGGGGGTTTAGGGGGTTTAGGGGGGGCTTAGGGGGCTTAGGGGGGTTTAGGGGGGTTTAGGGGGTTCAGGGGGTTTAGGGGGTTCAGCGGGTTTAGGGGGTTTAGGGGGTTTAGGGGGTTTCGGGGGTTCAGGTTTGGGTTGCGGGATTTAGGGGGGTAGGGGTTTACAGTTTGGGCCAAGAAAGTTCCTGCACAGTGTAGCTGCTTTGTTCCGTAGGAACAACTAACTCGACGCGACGAAGTCACAAAAGAACAGAATTGTGCTGCAGACTGCAGTAGTTTTAGGGGCAAAGAAAACCCAAGCTTTCTATACATCCACTTAACACCTAGGTTCTGATGCAGCTTTCAGCCAAGAATCCATGGGTAACCTATGCGCCCGCACCCTTACAGTTTGGATTCGCCAGGGGGGGGGGGGGTCTCTAGATTCAGGCGTTGCAAAAATGGCCCAGGGCTCCGCACTCAGAGCCATACTCCCTGCCGGCTGCTTCACAGGGACCCGAAGTGTTCAGGGGCTCGAGTTTAGCATCGCAGTTGGTGGGTTTTCGGCCTTGTGGTTCGCCAAACATCCAACCACTGGCAACGGGAAGGTCTAGGGGGTTCTGTTTGCGGTCAAGGCATGTGCACTCAACTTGAGCTTAGGACTTCGGGTTGCGGGCCGAGGGCTCTTTAAACCCGGCCTCAACCTCCACTCTCCGCTCACACAAGAATGATGGTACTGACGAGAACGATAACAATGACACTAAGAAAGCATGAACATGCACAAAGCAAACATGCACACAGCACTGATGACAATAGTTGTTTTTGAAACAGTACTGGAAGCACTGGCAGGCGTAGTAGCAGGAGCAACAGCCATGGCGGGCAAAATAGAAATAACATAGTAGAATACTAATAACTAATAGCGACAAACCAAATTAATACAAGTACTAAATTACGCAATAAATCCTGAGCTCACTGTGTCAAAACAGGAACCCTACTTAAAGAGACCACCAACCTAAACCCCTACCCCCTAAAACCCTAAACCCTCAACCCCCTACACCCCTAAACCCCCAAAACCACCCCAAAAAGCCCTAACCTCCTAAACCCCCCAAACCACCCAAAACCACCCCAAAAAAACCTCAAAACCCCGAAAACCCTAAACCCCTAAACCCCCCAAAACCCCCTCAGAACCCCCCGAAGTACTTGAAGCCCATGCCCGTGCTTTGATGGCCTGTCCAAGGCTGCCAGGACTGCTCGACGATTCCTGCAGGTAGGGTTTAGGTTTTAGGGTTTAGGGTTGAGGGTTGAGGGTTCAGGGTTTTAGGGTTTGGGGTTTAGGACTATATAGGGTTGTTGAGTCTCCGTGCCCAAGAACTTTGTGCATTTTATAAGGGTCTCGAGGGTTAAGGCTCACCTGGCCAAGGAAACTCCTTGCCAGGCCCCAGCATCTCGGCATTTTAGCGACCCTCATCCCCACCCTCCCTCCCACACCCTCAGCCCCCCAACCAGGGTTCAGGGTTTAGGGTTTAGGGTCTAGGGTCTAGGGTCTAGGGTTTAGGTCTAGGGTACGTCCCGAACCCTAAACCATGGAGTGCGAAACAGATTCGGGGCAGGAGCCGCGCTCAAGCGTGTTCTTAGAGGTCTCCCTAGTGCCCCCTAAGGCTCCCTAAGCTTCCTAGGGCTTAGGTTTAGGGTTTAGGGTTTAGGGTTTAGGGTTTAGGGTTTAGGGTTTAGGGTTTAGGGTTTAGGGCTTAGGGCTTAGGGCTTAGGGTTTAGTTTAGGGTTTAGGGTTTTGAGGATTTAGGGGTATTCTACCAGGACCCTTGACTGCAGTTCCTTCTTCAACTCGGGAACCAAAAAGGGTGAACTACAACTAAGCATCCCGCTAAAACCTAAACCCAAACCCTCTCAACCTTGCGGAGAGCCTTCAGGATTCAACCCTATAGACCCTCATAAAGCCCTGTAAACCCTCGACAAAAACTCCTACAAACCCCCCTACAAACCCCCTATGAAGATCTATACACCTTCTACAAAAACCCCTACAAACCCCCCTATAACCCCCCCATGAAGACCTATAAACTCTCCCGAAAGCCCAAAATTAGAGTGCATGAGGATTGAGAGCTGAGGGTTTCGGGTGAAGCAAACAACCTAAACCCTAAACCCTAAACCCGAAACCCTGAACCCTAAACCCTAAACCCTGAACCCTATACCCTAAACCCTAAACCCTAAACCCTAACCCTCCCTGAAGCCCTGATCTCAAGCCCCCTCTGTCGAAGCTGACCGGTCCTCGACTTCTCGACCTTGCCATAAATACTGCCTGGCGCCCGAAACGGCTGGGCCCAGGATGATGGGTGGGGGGTTTAGGGTTTAGGGTAGGGTTAGGTAGGGGTTTCTCGGATATTCATGTGGACTTTTGGGGTCTAGTGTTTAAGGTGTAAAGTTTTGAGGGGTTTGGGTTTAGGCTTTGGGGTTTCGGTTAAGGGTTTTGGGGCCTAGGGTTAAGGGTTTGGGTTTCGGGTGTATTGTGTAACGCCTGTAGGATTTATAGAGTATAAACCTAAACCCCTAAACCCTAAACCCTAAACCCTAAACCCTAAACCCTAAACCCTAAACCCTAAACCCGAAATCGCATCGATTCAGGATGCAAGCATCTTCAACTTCTTTTCGCGCCGCTCACCGCGTCAATGCCCGATGTGGCCTCAGGGTGCCATGCACTCCCTCCAGGGAGTTTAGGGTTTAGGGTTTAGGGTTTAGGGTTCAGGGGTTGAGGGTTGAGGGGCCAGGCATTCTGAAGCTCTAGTTGAGGGCTTAAGGACCAAAAACCTACAATTTGTTCCTGGGCTCTCTTGTTCTGAAAGTCCTTCCAAGATTCATAGAGACAACGAGGCAGTTGCCTGAACTACTGTCAGAATATTACCCTAACCAACTTCGACAGTTGTGCCGAGGGAACTCTAAACCCTAAGCCCTAACCCCCAAGCCCTAAACCCTCAACCCTCAACCCTAAATCCTAAACCCTAAACTGTGGCCTTCTTGGGTGTTTGTCTTCAGGCTGGGCTGCCTTGAAGCTTGTTTGTTCTTTGCTTTGAAGGGGTTTGCTATCCTCACCAACCCCCCCCCAAACAAAAAACACATAGACAACAACCATAATCAAAAACATAATCACAGTTGATGAACAAATACATGGCGTAAATACATAAAAAAAAATAACAAAGGAAAAGTGCACGTTTTGGCATCCTCGAGCGGGGAGGAGGGAACCCTGCGTTGCCCCCATTGTCTGGTAGTCGAAGAAGACAGCCCGGTGCCCCCAACAAGGAAGTGGACTCCAGGATGCCTCAGCCCTAAACCCAAAACCCTATCCCTAAAGCCTCAACCCGAAACCCTAAACTCTAAAATCTCAACCCGAAACCCTAAACCCTACACCCTAAACCCTAAACCCCAAACCCCAAACCCTAAACCCAATCCGAAGAGCCCAGCGCCGACAGCTCGAAGTCCACTCGCTGCACGAGGAGCTCGTCCTCGGCTGCCACTGCGTTTAGGGTTTAGGGTTTAGGGTTTAGGGCTTAGGGTTTGGGGTTTGGGGTCTGGGGTTTAGGGTTTGGGGTGAAGGGGCCTAAGCCTTTCTTAAACCCCAAACCCCGCCTCAACCCGAAACCCCCACATGCTAGACCCTGAACCGTAAACCGGCCCTCAATATGGGGCCCCTTTGAAACCCCCGCCCCACCAACACTGCGAGACGGGTTCCACAGCGGTTCGAACAGATTCAGAGTGGAGAAGTTCATCAGATCCACCTGGCGCTTTCTGTTTTTTTTTTTTTTTTGGGAGGGGGGGGGGGGGTTAGAGTTTGGGGTTTAGGGTTTGGGTTTAGGGTCAGAGTACAGAGTGTAGGGGTTTGGGATTTCGGGGTTAGGGTTTAGGGCTTGGCCAGATTTCGGGGATCAAGATCCGCAGACATACGCCTTAACCCTCAACCCTAACCCTAAACCCTACAACCTACAACCTACAACCCACAACCCTAAACCTAAACCCTAAACCCTAAACCCTAAACCGTGAACCCTAAACCCTAAACCCTAAACCCTAAACCCTAAACCCTAAACCCTAAACCCTAAACCCTAAACCCTAAACCCTAAACCCTAAACCCTAAACCCTACGAGCGCGCGTGGTTTCTTGGCCCAATCACCTTGTAGATAGCCCAACCCCAGGGCACAGAAGGTAGCCCAACATGTCAAGAAGATAGCCCAGAACCGAAATCCCGAGGGCACACAAGGCCCAAAACATGCGATAATGATAGTCTCTACCTCTTGGGGATAGCATCTTGATGTAACTGTGAAACAACGCATGTGTTGCGGAGTCTTCCCGCAGGGCACAGCGATAAAACTGTACCGCTGCCATGAATCCACCCGTGAACTTCTTTTTGAAGCTACCTCTCGGTGATAGCCACGTGAGGCTAGCTTGAGACACTGACAAAATGCCTGTTTCGCGGAGCCTTCCCGCAGGGCACAGCGATCAAACAGAACTGCCATTTGAGACGTAACCTCAAGAAATGGGCTTTGGATGGGGGGGGGGGTCTGTATTGTTGTCGGAACGATACCCGAACGATGCCGCGAACGATACCTCGGACCTGTCTTGGCACGGCCAAAACCAACATGAATGTACTCGAACCTATGAGTGCGATGTGCACCTTGGCGTTTCGATGCGTTTTCGTGCATCAAGTACAGCATATAAAACGGTCAGAGATTCACATGCTCATTGCCAGCGTGCCCTCGCGTTTCGTGTTCAAAACGAAGCTTACAGAACTATAGCCTGGTAAGCACCAACTATGTGAATTTTGCTGATTCCGCAGGGCGCACAGCGATTGGGTTATCTTCTGGGCGTGCGGGCTAATAAACCACGTCGACCCAGTACTCCCCTTCCCTGCCTCGCACCACCGCATCGATCATGGCAAGCGCGAGTGCTGGTGGAACTTTACGAAGCCGAGGTAGCACCTGGAGGGTTTAGGGTTTAGGGTTTCGGGCTAGAGTTTAGGGCTAGGGTTTAGGGTTTGGGGTCTAGGGTTTAGGGTTTGGGGTTTGGGGTTTAGGGTTGAGGGTTTGATGTTTAGGCTTGCGGGAGCGAGTAACTGTAGGGGGGCTGTTCGGGTTCAGCACCTGTCAGTTAAAATCTTGAATTGGGGGTTTACGATATTAGGGGTGCCGTAATTTGGGTTTAGGGTATGGGGGTCTACGATATTAAGGGTTCCCGAATTTGGGTTTAGGATATGGGGGTTTACGATATCAGGGGTACCTTCTTGGGGTCCTGATTACAAGGGAATCTTACTATGTGGGGGTCTATGATTTGGGGGTCCCCTATTTTCGTAAACCCTCAATTGACATGTAGACACCCTAAACTGGGCTTATAAAAATGATAATGTGTTGGCTTCATCAGGAGTATATAGTGGATTAGGGGTAATAAACATTAAAGATTCTGTTCAAACCTACCCTCCTGCAGCCACAAGCTCCCGTGAGGGTTGGAAGTCTAGGATTGATAGGGCTTCGGGTTTTATTTAATGGTTCAGGGCTGTATAGGGCTCAGGGTTTGGGGCCCTAAACCCTAAACCCTAAACCCTAAACCCTAAACCCTAAACAGCCCCTTTCAGAAGCTTCGGGCAAGAGGCAGCCGTCCACATCACCTCCACCACGGCCTGCACAAGAGGGCTGCTGCTTTCGATGCCCTGAGCCCTGAGCCCTAAAGCCTCGAAATTCATCAGCTCCTGGTTTAGGGTTTAGGGTTTAGGGTTCAGGGTTTAGGGTTTAGGGTTCGGGTTTAGGGCAGTTCCCAGAACTCCTCCCTTGAATCAGCATGCCGCCTGCTATGCTTGAGAGCCACTAAGGAAGAATCCAACGCTGCTTCTGGACCTTACAGGCATCAACCGACCAAAGGCTATGAACCGGTTTAGGGTTTAGAGTGTTCTTGGCCTCTATAAGAACGAAGCGTGTCGATGCTGGGGAATAGATTTCTGGATGTGTGTCTTCTCACACCTTTCAACACCCGAAAGCCTCCTCCTCCCCCTAAACCCTAAACCCTAAACCCTAAACCCTAAACCCTAAACCCTAAACCCTAAACCCTTCAACACAAAATACCCGAGTAGCCCCAGCAGTGCCGTGCAGTTCTTTTTGACTGCGAATCTCTATGGCCGCTACACCGCAAGCGACCACAGCAGCTTCATGCATGTCCTCCGGCGCAGGGTCTGCAACCCTCGAAGATGGTACTGGATATGAAGTTGCGGGAGACTTGGTCCCCACCTTTAACCCTGTCTAGGGTTTAGGGCTTAGGGTAAAAGAGTTTAGGGATTAGGGTTAGAGTTTAGGTTTAGGGTTCAGGGCATGCTTATCCTTGAAGGCCTGTACCTGAACTTTCTCTCAGGGCTCTTGGCCCCAACTTTGTTGACACACAAAGCTCTACTCCGTTCATGCGTAGGACGATGTTGCTTCTAAACAATGCAACATAAACAACAGCGGCACAGACATAATATGACTGTGCCTCCTGATCTGGATGAGAGCGATACCCTAAACCCTAAACTCTAAACCCTGAACCCTATGCCTTTGTTGAGGTTTCCCTCCACCCAAGCGTCCTGGCGAGGCCCGCCAGAAATAACTGCGCCTTGGCTGTTGACTGCGGTGGTGGGGCATCCGGCTCATATTACTGGTTCTGCTTCGCAGATATTGGGGATAGAACTGGTACCTACTTTTCACAATCCCCATTTAAGAGCTAGTAAGTTATTCTGGCTTCAGTTTGCAGAGCCAGAGGGGGTGTAAGGGAGAGGGGGGGTGGCGAAATTCCTGCCAAAGGTATTCAGTGCTTCTTCGAGCCTTATTCGGGGAACCCCAAACCCTAAACCCTAAACCCTAAACCCTAAACCCTAAACCCTAAACCCTAAACCCTAAACCCTAAACCCTAAACCCTAAACACCCTCAACTCCACTGCGGCCCCGAAGCATCCCGGGCGCCACAGGGCGCCTTCTCGGCCGATGAGAGGCACAGGGACAGAGTCCTCAAGCCACCAGAAGCTTCACCGCAATGGGCGGCTGCGGGTGCAGGGTTTAGGGTTCAGGGTTTAGAGTTTAGGGTTTATAGGGTTTATAGGGTTTATAGGGTTTATAGGGTTTAGGGTTTATAGGGTTTAGGGTTTAGGGTTTAGGGCTTAGGGCTTAGGGCTTAAAGGCACATAGGGTTTAGGGCTTCTTGGGGCCCTTGGGGCTTTGGGTTGTACGAACACGCTCTCGCATTGAGTCTTACTCTCCATACATGTAGCACCACTAAGAAGTGCCATCTCATGGTGTACGGTTTAGGGTTTCAGGGTGCTGTGCCCTAAACCCTAAACCCTAAACCCTAAACCCTAAACACCCACACGGCCAAGCCGCACAGCATCCGGCTGCAGCTTGGCCATGACGGAGTCATGCAGGCAGAGCAGCGTTCTTTGCCAAGCGCTGACGGAATGGCCTCGGTGTTTAGGATGGGTTTAGGGTTTAGGGTTTAGGGTTTAGGGTTTAGGGTTTAGGGTTTAGGGCTTAGGGTTTAGGGTTTAGGGCTTTTGTTGGGAGTTAGGGCCCTCGACAGAACAAAGGACGTTCCAAAGGATTGCAAAGTCGCAGGCGCTGAGCGTCACGCTGCAGCTGATGACATTTGCTTCCACCGCCTTGCCCAAAGGCCCCTGAACCCTCAATCACAAGCCCGAAACCCGAAACCCTGACCCCCCCCCCCCCCAAACGAAAGCATGTCTAAAGAAAATCTGAGCTAGGCCGCGCCAAACTAGGACTGTGGATTCTGAGCCCAGAAAGTTCTTAAAGCTAAGGGAAGCTCATCGCTCACCTGCTAAGCAGCTCTGTCAAGTCGTCTGCCAAACCCTAAGAACCCCAAAGCCCCGAACCCCTTAAAGCTACCCCGCCGACAGCCAGACATGAGTGTCTTCCAGGAGGTGGGGCCGTAAACTCCAAGCCCGTGAAGACTAACAGTCAGGGTCCCCGGTTCGAAGGTTTCATGAAGGGCAGGAAAACTTAGAATTCATTTGGGCTCCTGAAATTGCAGACCCCAAGCCCCTAAAGCCACAAACCCCTAAGGCCTAAAGCCTCAACCCATGATCACACTAAGCCCGAAGAAAACCCTAAGGCTACCCTAAGAAAACCCCAAGGTAACCCCAAGAAAGCCCTAAAGGGAACCCTGAGACAACCCGAAGAGGGACCCCACAACTGGTTTTCAGGACCCCTAAACCCTAAACCCTAAACCCTAAACCCTAAACCCTAAACCCTAAACCCTAAACCCTAAACCCTAAACCCTAAACCCTAAACCCTAAACCCTAAGGAAACCCTTTGGGAAACCCTCAAAAAACCTTAAGAGAACCCCAACAAGTGGTTTTCAGGACCCTCAAACCTTCCTTCCGAGGTCCGCGAGGAGCTGCACCGCCCCGCGCCAGTGACGGCCCTTCCTTCCCACCCTAAACCCTAAACCCTACACCCTAAACCCCCTACCCCCTAAACCCTAACCCTTAATCCTAAACCCTAAACCCTTTCTGTTTATGTGCCCGAAACGCGCTTTCCCTACCCGTAAACTTCGAAGCTTCGGCAGATCTGAAATTGGTAATGTAAGGTGCGCGTTTTAAGCAGGGCCCGAGCGTGGTTCAGGGCCGTTCAACATGCCGATGCATGAAAAACGGGGCTCTCCTGCAATTCACTTGTTGAGAGTGGTCCGGGGTGAGCTGGCACCTAAGTGACCTTGAACTCTAAACCGTCTAAAGGTAAATCCTAAGACCTAAATCCCTAAATAGCCCTAAATAACCCTGAAGAACCCTGAAGAACCCTAAAGAAACCCTAAACTTGTGAACCCTGTGCCATCAGCTGTCGAACCCAGCTTCAGCAAGCCAAGACATGGACCCACCGACAGACTCTGCCAAGGAAGCAGAAGAGCTTTTTGAAGGTCCGGAGTCCCCTAAACCCTAAACCCTAAACCCTAAACCCTAAACGCTAAACCCTAAGATGAAGCTACTCAACCCCCGAACGACGCGAAGCACTCCTGACACCAGTTGCACCCTAAAACCTTCCGACATCCTAATACGGGGATCGGGGCCGTACTGATTAGAAGAGGGTTTTGGGGGTGACTATCGTGATATATACATATATATATATATTGGAAATTACTCCGACCCCTATATATTCTGCCCCTAAGCCCAACCCCATAGTCCAAGCCGAGATTCTCGCAAGCGCTGAGGCCTGCGTTGAAAGCGACCTCACACACAGTCTTAGGGTTTAGGGTTTAGGGTTTAGGGCTACTAGACCCAGAAGTCACCCAGGAGTAAAAAGGGTACCCTGTTTGATTTTACAGGCGGTTATCAGGGAACCCCAACCCTAAAAATAGGCAAGAAGTCCGATAGACATCACCACCCGACAGGTGAAACAAGATCACTGCTGCAGGCTTCGTCCTACCTTACTTCTCCAATAACCAAGGGAAAACAAGGTTAAACTTTATTGTTCCTACTAAAGAAGGAAACCCAAAAAGTTTAAAGTTCAGCTGTTGGAGAAGTAAGCTACTGGGCCACAACCGAAAGAACCGTCGGTACACCCTAAACCCTAAACCCTAAACCCTAAGCCCTAAACCTTAAACCCTAAACCCTAAACCCTAAAACAACTCCCCGAACTTGTTGAGCAATACCTGGATTTTGGGGGGGGCTTGGGGTGCATCCTTCATCCTAATGCCTGAGCCTCTGAAACCTCCCTCCCAAACCTCAAAACCTCTAACCTCCTGAACCCTAAATCCTGAAAAAGCCTCCTGAGCCCTTAGCCCTGAAAGCTCCAATTTCCACAGCCCCAAGAAAAGGCCCAAATCCTAAACCCTCTCAAACCCTACGCCCTGAACCCTTAAACCCTTGACTCTCTAACCTGAAAGCTGGGACTCGTTCATTGCGGTTTAGGGTTTCGGGTTTAGGTTTTAGGGTTTATAAGTTTAGGGTTTATTAGTTTAGGGTTTAGGGTTTAGGGTTTAGGGTTTAGGGTTTAGGGTTTAGGGTTTAGGGCTGAAGCAGGCAAGCAGCTTCATCGGCCTGCAAGCTCCAGTGGACATACTCCTGGAGCAGACCTGCAAGCTGAAGCTACAAAAAAACCATAGGGTTTAGGGTTTAGGGTTTAGGGTTTAGGGTTTAGGGTTTAGGGTTTAGGGTTTAGGGTTTAGGGTTTAGGGTTTAGGGTTTAGGGTTTAGGGTTTAGGGTTTAGGGTTTAGGGTTATAGGGTTCTTAAGGGATGGGGGGTTCAGGGGGGGTGTGTAGCGCAAGGTTCCCTAATACTCCCCACTACGTCCCTAGGGCTCCCTGGCTTCTTCGGCTCCCTTAGTAGCTACCTGCAAGCTGAAGTTAAAGAAATCAACCCGAAAGCACCAACCAAAAACTACCCCTCAGCTCGTCCTGTCCAGCCTAAACCCCAAACCCCAAACCCTAAACCCCAAACCCTAAACCCGCAAACCCTAAACCCCAAACCCTAAACCCCAAGGCCTAAACCCTAAACCCTAAACCCCAAACCCCTAAACCCTAAACCCCTAAACCCTGAACCCTAAACCCCTAAACCCCAAACCCTAAACCCTAAACCCGTGCCACCGGGGGGCTCATGGCTTGCCACCACACGGAAGCCTTCTCGCAAGCCGTGAGGACCGCGTTGCAGG